TTCCGCGGTGCAATTACGAGGCAGAATTTCGAATATTTCTCGGCCTGCAGCTGCGAGCGGTGGCCTTGAAAACCATGCTGTGTGACGTCAAAAACTTGTAAAAAGATTGCAAGCTGTGCAAATACCTGCTCCATAAAAGATAATTTTTCTATAAATCTTGTCGTTCCAACATAAATATAAATGCATCAAAAACCTGGTATCATAGACAAACTCTTTACCACGTGGAGTTTTAGTGGCGCCATCTATTCGAGGTCATCAAAACCGTCAGCTCTATCTGATACCGCGAACAGCCGCCAGAAGCCAGAGGAGGACGAGGGCAGAGCAGGACGGGAATGGACGGACCCAAACTTTCCTCCTTTCGCTATGTTGATCTCGCTGCGCAAGCACGTGGTCACGTGGCTTCAAGCGGTTGAGTTCTCGCTGCTCACTGATGGCTCAAGAGAGAGAGCTTAACCAAAACCCCGAGCGTTCCCCATTCATGTGACAGCGCACATGACTCGGAAGATGGTGAAGGGAGTTGAGAGGTGCTGAAAACCTCTACCTTTGTCCATTTTTAAAATAAGAACTAAGACATGCAGGCAAAAGCATTTTTTTCTTTACTTCAAAAAGGTCGAGACACCAACTCTCAGATTATTTAAGCAAAGCACTGAAACTGTTGTGCAGCTCCTTTAAAAATGAAAATACAAGGAAAAAAGTCTATTTTTAAACCTTATATTTTTATTTCTAAATCCGTTTACGTATCTTCTATTTACTACACACAGAATGTGCATAATTATTTAGTTTGTTATAAAGTTTAAAACCCATGGTGCTTAGAAGCGCATTCTGAAAAGTTCTTCCTGTTTCCTTACAAATTTTTTTCCTTGCAAGATAATAAAATTTTACTGTATTTTGGATCTCGAATCTGGATCTGAATTCAATTTGGGTGCTGTATACCTCGTTAATCAGAGAGGGAAACAAGAACAAGATTTCAGGAGACTAAGATACAAGGTTTTCTAATTGGCAATAACTTAACAACTTCCTCTTAGCTACCAGTGAAAGAATTTCAGAATGTGATGAAGTCATGTCTTGCTAAGATGGATGCCATGCTATACAGACAATATGGGGGGGACCGATCCCTCCCTATGCAATTCTGTCTCGTTAATGTAGAAACTCGTGATCCGGACAACGGACAGTTAGATTTGGGAACAAACTGGGTAAATACAGGTGAGAGTTTTACTAGTGTCTGGTTTTGGTTGCCCTTCCTTCAAAAAGAGATAGGACCTGGGCACCGAACAATAGTGCATTCGGGGCTTTCCAGCCAAATGGGCCACCCGACCTTGTCTCCCTAGCTGTCACGGACATAAATGACCGACCTGAAGAACACTCATAGGTCATATGTACAATGTACACCATGGTTAAAGGGTGTTTGCAAGCGCTATGCAGTCGTAAAAAATGACATATATGTTCAGAGCTAGGGTGCCCTGGGACATAGTCAGTGACGTGGCAGCCAGGAAGACGAAGCAAACAAGGGTGTCATGACAACCCCATATCTTTCATTCCCGACCGTGAAGAGCCAAAATCCCCCGTTCCGATAGCACGCGCTTATCTACATCTTGCTTGATGCACGCTGGCGCCATCTCCAGGGCCTCCAGAAAACGGGAGGCACTCACTTGATCGATTGACGTTGTAGCGAACGCCCACGTTTCACCGAGCGACACTTTAGCGAATGGTCGGACGCCGCAAAGCGGCGTTTTTGGGTGGGCCAAGTGGGTTCACATTTTTGTAATGAGCCGCCGCAGACTGTCGCCACAAAGTGGCGTAAAGCGCAGCGCGGCGGATGGGTTAACGCGCGCCCTTGTTATTTGCTAAAACGTCGATTTGCTCAAATGTCGCTGTTCGCTAAAACATCATTCGCTTTTGTGATATGGACCCGTTCCCCCCCAGAAATTAATATGAGGGTGGCGACTTCTACAGTATAAATAAGCCAATGAACGCAATGCAGTAAATCTTACAACAAAGATGTGCCTGAGTGGTGCATTTGTCGTACTCAGATTTGGTGAGTGGGTTTGCAGGAAAAAATTCGAGAAAAGCAAAAATTGCTATTTCCGATGCACAGGAGTAAAACAGAAGCAAACTGTCTGGTTGACGCTGCTATTCACATATGGTGCGACACATCTCGCGCCTAAAACCAATCGACATTGTCAATGTAACCATATTGGCCGTGTCACAGAGCGCACAACTTCCTATTTTCTCAACACCTGAGGTACTTGTAGCAGCCGCATTACACCCGTGGCCGAAGCCCCTCCGCCAGTTTATGCCTTGCTGCATGTCCTCTCCCGCCTTCGCTCATATTGTGAGTACGCTCAAGTTTCCAAGACGGCCGTCCAAGCAAAACAAAATCTTGCTCAGTACATGCGTGCTGCAAGCTGTGCTTTTCTTCTTTTCTGTGCGTGGTGCGTGCAGTGTTTTTTTTTTGTTTTTTTTTTCAGCTTTCTCCCTTTCTGAATCGCTTCTCTTTGTCACATTTGTTCACGGCTTAAGCATTTGGAATTTTCTTTCCTTCCTATAGATTCTTCGTGGTGGAAGGGACAAGCTAGAAGACGATTGTTTGCACGTTTTTGGAAGCCTTCCTGTGAGGAAAAGTTCGATATAGCCAATGTGATGTTCGTTATAAAAAGTACTTTTTACATGCACTTTTATTTAAAGTTTCCCTAAGTTCGATATCAACAATAATTAGCTGTATGTGGGTTCATTCTAAACGGGTTTCACTGTACTACCAAAGTATTTTAAATACAGTATCTTGAGAAGGGTATTTGAGATAGGCACAAGCCTGAGTGAGACTAACTATAGTCCGTTGCAACTCAAGAAGGTAAGGCGAGGGTAAGACAGGGCAGGGAGAAGGAAGCAGACAGAATGCTGGAGAAGAGAGGGGGAAACCTCCTCCTCTCTTTAGCGTTCTGTCTGCTTCCTCCTCCCTGGCCCGTCTTACACTCGCCCTACCTTCTTGAGTTGCAACGGACTATAACTGTACCAATACTGATCCTAATACTGATACTAACCATACTCTTGGATATTTGCGCCGTAACCTCAAACTTGCTACACCCTTTGTAAAACGACTAGCGTATACTACTTTCATAAGATCCAAGTTAGAATATGTGTCATATAATGGTGTCCATGGCAGTCAGACCTCACAAACCATCTAGAATACGTACAAAGCAGAGCCCTTCGTTTTATTTATAATAACTACTCAATGTATACCAGCATGTCAGGGTTGCACCAATAGGCTAACCTTCATTCACTTTCCTTTTGTCGCCAAATGTCACGCCTCTCTCTCCCTCGAATTTTCTATCCCCCACCTCAGAGAATCACTACTATCACCTCCCCACCATACTTTCCCTCATTTAGATCACCCATGTAAATTAGATTCAATTCAATCATCAGCTGTTTCTCACCACACTTCCACTCTACCACTGGCTATCGAGGATTGGAACTCACCACCTCACAACATCATTTCTATAAATGATGCTACTAAATTTCTTGAATCTATTACTCTTTCTAAATTGGATAACTAGCTTAAAGTGTCATATTTGAGTTTACTGCACTTTTTGTTTTATTGCCACCCTTTTTATTCTTTGAGGCCCCAAGTGCCCTCAAAGAAAAAAAATTATGATGATGAATGATGATAGCAGTACTGGCAGGAGCTCGAAGTAATGATAGTGATATTCCTTATTTAACCCAGGAGGGTTGTGGTGTATACATGGTATACCAAGGTAAACAAACAGGTAATTGCAGAACTTTGTGTGGCCGAGATGCTTCCAGTTAACCAGCTTCTTGTGTGTGTTTCAATGAGCAAGAATGAGCAGTGCGTCAAAGAAAACTGGACGTAAGACAGATCGATGTGCATGTTTGGACCGTACGACACCAAAAAAAAGCGCCGTATCTCCTTTTATTTGGCCTCCATCCAGAAAGTTACATGACCCTACCTGACGTCAAAGTAGAAACTTGTGTACATGTGAGACACTCAAAGAAGTTAGACACCCACAAATCAACCGAGACATGTAACTGTTTTGTGTCTTTGTGCAGAGGTGAGTGTGTGTGAGCACAACATTGCTACGTCAACTGCGCGTTGTCGCCATGAGTGTTCGAGCTGGCCAAAGCTAAACTACACTACGCCTGTCAGAAGTAGATGAAGGAGGGTGTGAAGGACTCTGCCGCTCGTGCTTGATCCTACCCCGGAAAAAGCGAGAGGCGTGTTTTTGCCGACGAGTGGAGATATCGTGATTGTGAAAACGCCGACCATTAGCGGCGATCCCGTGAATGATATTCACGTGGATACAGGTGCACACACGGACACCAAAAGGCTATTTTAGATTCTAGAACCCAGGTGATAAGGAAAGAAAACTAGATTCAGATCCGACTTGTTATGATCATATGACACACCTGGGGACATTCCCATTTGTTCAAACTGGTCTGTTTGGGTAGACACACAAAAACGCGATTGTGTTTGATGGCGTGGGCGAGTAGTAAAATAGAAAAAATGGCACCAGTAATTTTGTGCTGTGTTTCACGTCTTTAATCGTGTCACGAACAGATGCGTTATTGCATGCAGAAAAGAAAAATCTGGCTCTCGAAATTCGAAAGTGAAGGTTCCTGAAATTGATGTGGAACTAAACTCCAGGTTCGGTTCGATGTGAAAAGATCTGAAGTCCTCCGCTGACACAAACTCTCAAAAATAATGTGTTTTTTTTTTCTTATTTTAGTTTATTTGTGGGGTCTTACTGGAATTCGTTCAGGAGTCTCACATGAACTGCCTGTTTACAAGCTCACATAGACCAGAAAATTAAGGCCAAAAAGGATTCTGCTCTAAGATTAAGATAGAAATTATAAACACTATGATTGTAATTGTTGTGTATTTAATCTTTACATAATATATACATTACAGCATACAGCGGGCACAACCGACCGGGTTGGGGCCAGAGCAGTCGAACGTCTCGTGCTGGCGCGCGTGCACCAGTTCACCGGCATCCCTGGATATCCTCGGTTGCCAACACACAACATCCCTCCCCCCTAGGTCACATAGTCCTTTAGGTAGTCGGGACGTCGCCGTTGTCGCTGGGGACGATTTGACTGTTCTAGCGCAGGCGCTGAAGTTGGCAACACTGTTTGGTGCCTCGGTTCATGGGGTGAAGCAGGTGAACGTTGTGGGGAAGCTGGAGGTGTTGCCACTGGGTTTGACTCCTCAGGGAAGTCCGCTTGACTCGTAGATGGTGGGCACTCTTCCACCGATTCATTCCTAAGCGATGGCTCGCTTGGTAAGGAGAGCTGCTGAGGTGACAGCTCTGTCGTAGGCTCCTCCTCGTCCAGGTATGTGCTCCACTCCCGTCTCCGGATTTGGTCCACGTGCCGCCTCCAGAAACGACCGTCGATGGTGCGAACCTTGTAAGACACCGGACCGGTGATCTCAGTGATGATACCGGGTAGCCACTTGGGGCCTGCTAAATAATTGCGGATGAAGACTGGTTCTCGCGGCTCGAATTCGCGTACACCTTGTCTTCCCCGCAGCGCTTGTTCCTCTTGCTTGTCCACCATCTCTGCTTGTAGGTCTGGGTGAAGCCGGTCCAGTGCAGTACGGAGTCTCCGACCCATCAACAATTCCGCCGGCCTCTTTCCGGTCGTTGAGTGCGGGAGAATATGCTGACTCAAAAGAAATCGGGCCAACTTGGTGGCCATGTCGCCTCCTTCCATGCGCCTGAGGACTTGTTTAGTTTCTTGGACCATGCGCTCCACTTGGCCATTTGACGATGGATGATATGGCGCCACCTTAACGTGCCGGATCTGGTTTCTCTGCAAAAATTCTTCAAATTCTTGTGAGACGAACGCTGTCCCATTGTCCGAGACTATAGTGTCGGGAACACCGTGTGTTGCGAACAGCACTCGCAGCCTTTGACACACTGCTGCTGACGACATGGATGCTATCTGGATGACTTCCAGCCATTTCGAATGCGCATCCACCACCAGAAGAAAAACCTTTCCTTGGAGGGGTCCTGCAAAATCGATGTGGATTCGGGACCATGGGTTTCTGGCAAATTCCCACGGATGCAGTCTTGCACGTGCAGGTTGCGGCCTTGTCTCCTGGCAGAGCAGGCAGGTTCGGACCTTCCTTTCGATATCTTGGTCGATACCCGGCCACCAAACTGTGCTTCTGGCAAGCGCCTTCATGCGGACAATCCCGGGATGCGTGGTATGCAGCAGCTCCAAAACCTGGTCTCTCGCTTGCTCTGGAATGATGACTCTACATCCCCACAGCAGGCATCCCCGATACTCCGACAACTCGTGCTGCCGTCGAACAAATGGCTTGAACTCGTCCGGCAGCTTGCCTTGAGGCCATCCAACCCCCGTCCAATGCCGAACTCTGGACAAGGTTGGGTCGTTCCGGGTGCATCGGGCAATCTTCTGGGCATCCCACGGAATCTCCGGCGCAGTCTCCAGCATCCGGACTTCAAAAAGTTTCTCGTCAGTTGAGCTGTCTTCCACAGTTAGAGGCAGTCGACTCAGTGCATCCGCGTTCCTGAGCTGATGAGCAGGCCTGTACTCCAGCTCGTAGTCGTAAGCCGACAACATTAACGACCATCGCAACATCCTCGGCGACAGCACTTGAGGCATCGGTTTTGCGTGATGCAAGAGTCCCAGTAGAGGTTTGTGATCGGTCACGATCCGAAAATGCCGACCGTAGATGAACTTGTAAAACTTTCGTATTCCAAAGCCTATCGCCAGAGCTTCCCGGTCTGTCTGTGCGTAGTTCCTTTCGGCAGCTGTCATAGTTCGAGAGCCATAGGCTACCGGTACCTCCCGGCCTTCGCTATCAACGTGGCTGAGTACCACCCCAAGTCCGTACGGAGAGGCATCACATGCCATGACTAGTGGCAGGTGGACACTGTAATGGGCAAGGACGTCCGAAGACTGCAGTAGCTGCTTGGCCCGCAGAAAAGCCTCTGCTTCCTGCGTAGTCCATCTCCACTTATGGCCGTTGTCGAGCAGCCTGTACAAGGGCTCCAAAGTGTGTGCCGCTCCCCGTAGGAACCTGTTGTAGAAGTTGAGTGCCCCTAGGAACGCTTGCAACTCCTTCTTGCATTTTGGCTCGGGTGCCCCATGGATAGCCTTGACCTTGTCGTCTGTCGGCTGTATTCCTGCCTTGCTGACCTTGTATCCTAGGAATACAACTTCATCCACTCCAAAAACGCACTTGTCCCTTTTTAGCCGGACACCGTCGTCTTGAATTCTTTGAAGCACAGCTTGCAGACGGGTGTTGTGCTCGGCTTCATCTTTACCGCCTACCAGGATGTCATCGAGAAAAACTTGCACCCCTTCCAGCCCTTGCAGCAGCTCTTCCATGTACCTCTGAAAAATAGCGACTGCAACAGCTACTCCGAACTGTAGGCGCGTGACACGGAAAAGTCCACGGTGTGTGGTGATGGTGAGAAGGTCAGCTGTCTCACTGTCAACTGTCAGCTGCACGTACGCTTGGTCTAAATCAAGCTTGGAAAACCTTGCACAGCCTGCCAGCTTCGCGAAAAGTTCCTCAGGTGTGGGTAGGGGGTAGCTTTCCCAACGGACCACAGGGTTTACCGTACTCTTGTAGTCGCCACAGATTCGCACTGTGCCATCCTTTTTTACCACAGGTACTATTGGAGTCGCCCAACTGGAATGTCGGACCGGTTCCAAAGTGCCTTGCCTGATGAGCTTGTCCAAGGCTTCATCCACTTTTGGTAGTAAGGCAAAGGGAACTGGACGCGGTTTGAAAAAATTGGGCTGGGCAGTCGGTTCCACTTCGACTCGAACTGGTGGTCCCTTGCTCTTGCCTAGACCTGGTTGGAAAACGTCGGCGTGACGACTCAGCACTGCTGCGCTGGACGGGCTCTGATTGTTCGTTGCTTCTTCCAGCTGATTGACTCTCAGCTCAATCCCAAGAGCCTTGAACCAGTCTCGGCCAAGCAAGCCTACGCCTGCTCCCTTGATCACGACGAGACGCAGTCGTTTTTGACGCCCTTTATAGGTGACTTGAACCATCACGGAGCCTAGCACCTTCAATTCCTGCTGGTTGTACGTGCGAAGACGTAGTTCACACGGTCGCAGCTTGTGCTTGGACAACCGCAGCTGACGCATAGTTCTCTCGTTGATCACGGAGCACACCGCTCCTGAGTCGACTTCCATCTCGAGAGGGTTCCCGTTCACTCCTACGACCACGCGGATAGCAGGTTCCTCGGCAGTCATTTGGAAGATGCCGAAAACATCCGCTGTTTCACTGTCGCGCCGCCAGCCGTTCTGGCGGCTGCCACCTGTAGGCCTATAGGCGTCGGTGAGGACTGTTTCGCTTTTCGTCGACAAACTTTCACGATATGACCCCGCTGCTTGCAAAAGTGGCACTCTGCGTGTCGAAAACGACACTCGTCTGGTGCGTGTGACCCTCCACAGCGAAAACACTTGCCAGCGTCTTGCTGTGACTTCGACGCAGTCCTTTCTCTTGCTGCCTCGGCATTAGGCTTAGCTCTCGGAGCCATTTGCTTACCAACACGACACACATCGCTGCTCTCTACGGACGCCCCCCTGATCTTTTCTGTCTGGTGGTGGGCGTACTCTGCTGCTATCGCCTTCTCTTTGGCCACCGCGAAGGTTAGTTCCGGCTCGGAGAGAAGCCGTCGCTGAAGGGACTCTTCCCGGAGGCCGCAGACTAACCTGTCTCGGAGCATGTCGTCCAACGTTGGCCCGAAAGCGCAGTGCTCCGACAGCCGACGAAGCTCGGCGATGTAGACGGCGATACTTTCTCCTTGACGCTGGTCGCGCTTCCCGAACTGGAAACGCTGAACAATGGCGGACGGCCTCGGGTTGAAGTGGGCCGCCAGTCGCGAGACGATGTCGTCGTAGCTCGTCTCGGAAGGTAAAGCCGGTGAGCAGAGTGAACGAATGATGGCGTACGTTGCCGCCCCGCAGACCGTGCACAGGATTGCACGCTTCTTCTCGGCTGACTTGATCTCATTTGCGATAAAGTAGAACTCAAGTCTTTCGTGGTACAGTGGCCATGTTGCACCGGTGCTCGGTGCGAACTCTTCGATGCCGCCGAATGCCGGCGCCGCTGATGCCTTTGCTTCTGCCATGGCGCCGTGAACGGCGCTCTAGAAGGTCTTCCGCCGCAGGTTGACTCCACTTCGTCGCCAATGTTGTGTATTTAATCTTTACATAATATATACATTACAGCATACAGCGGGCACAACCGACCGGGTTGGGGCCAGAGCAGTCGAACGTCTCGTGCTGGCGCGCGTGCACCAGTTCACCGGCATCCCTGGATATCCTCGGTTGCCAACACACAACAGTAATTATTAAATATTTTATGCAATAACAAGTTGGTCTGTATCAGTGGTCTGTGTTATAAAAACCTGGGTTCATGCTAAAATATAAAATTCTATTGGGGGGAATATTTGAATATTTCAATCAATTTTTTATTTGCGCAAGAACTAAAGTGTGACTCGCTCAATAAGTTTCTTCACTGTCCGGAAGAGTCACATATGTGCATTTTTGATTTCAAAATTAAACGATCCTATTGCTCAGTTTTAAATCGACGCGCGCATAACAGGGACTGTTCGCGCTCGTAGGCTGCGGAGTCGCAGCTCGTTGCACCTTTTATTTTGTGGAGATCTGCCACAGCAAAATTGCCCAGTCAATTACAAAACATTACAGAACTTTAAGAAGCCAGTGGACGTGGAAAACATAACAAAAAAGATTGATTTAATCGCAGAACAAGGGAAACATAACGTCAATGTTCCTCCTTTAAAAGCATGCCAAAAATACCCGAACCGGAAGTGTTCTCGGCACCCTGTCACGGAGGCCAAAAGTGGCCTGAATACCACGTATACAGGGTGTGCGGAGGTAAACAAAAGCAAATAATGGCAGAACTTCCGGGGTAATGAAGAAAAGTGCCCCGGTCTTTCTTCTATATCGCTCAAGAATGCTTAGAGTATTGTAAATTCGTGGGGAGTCGGATCAAGGCTCGTTCACACAGATGTTTTACTGATGAGCTGTAGCTATGGCAACGCTTACGACGAGCCAATGGGAAGGCGCTGTGCTGTACGACGTAACGCAGCTGCGTGAATGATCCTTTATCGAAAACGCGAGCAGCGCGTTCGGTCACGGTGTGATAGCGTGAACTGAAGCTGCTCAATCGAAACCGAAACTGAGTGGCCAGCTAGTTCCCAGGGTGCCCTGCGTGGCCTTTTGCCGTGATGGGGCGCTTCAAATTTAGAAAAGGTCTATTCTGCCACGTTCATATTGGCCTCGAGATCGACCTAGAGGTGGCGCTACGGTCGCGCTATCATCATCATCAAAGCGGGGATAGGGGAACGGCCGCCCCATAGGCTCTCCACGTTGGCGCGCGAGACGGCGTAGATTCTTGCGTTTATTTTGTCGCATACTATCGGTAAGAAAACAATTCTAGCGGAAAAGGATGCAGTACTTTTCGGTGCTTCAGTGAAGATCGAATCGTGTCGCCAGCGTGCGGCCCAAATTTATATAATCGTTGGAAAGCATGGATCACCACGGCTGATGCCTGTCTCCGGCTGAACTGCAATATTTATGTTAAATATTTGTTTCTTTTAAAATTAATGTATCGGTTCATCAACGTGGGAATTAAAAATAATGATAAATTCCAACCCAAATAACATAATACTGTTACTGTGGGCTGTGAAATCGCAGCTTCTATGCTCTTTTTTTAATGTCTAGCTTTTTTAGTAATATAAATATTTAGAATGAAGATAAGTTAGCGCTGTATTGGAAATTACCATGCTATTGAGTTCCTCTGCCCTTTTACTGTGCCATAGTGTGGGTACGTTTTTTGGAGTCTGAACAAATCTACTGCGTTGCGATGAGGAGAGAGTGACTCTTCTAGTTAATATCTGCAAACTGCAGGGTTGGAAGACAACTGAAACAAGTGAAACAAACTGTTCTAATATATCTGCCGTGACTGTAGTAAACGAGTGTAACCGAGCAACGCAACAATGTTCCTATTATTAAATGTTTTTCTCGGTAGTGTGGGTTCACCCGCTTCAATTTTCTTGGTGAGGGCCGCGGATGTCAAGAGGCTAATATTATTCATTTCTGGCTAAATAATCTTCTACTTAAACACAGTAGACTCTGCAACTCTAGCAAACGACGTGAACCACGACACAGACAGCATCGGCCGCAGTGATATTCTTTCTCTGATGAGGGCTAGCGACCTTCACGAGACTTTCCGATCACCCTCCGCCCTCACCTAACGTATATCGGGACTGGGCAGTTCATCTATTAACTTTCAGATTATTCAAGTAATGCTTTAATTACAATTTTTGTGCCGGTTAATTGGAGTCTTGTGCTGGAGAAAGTCAACGAGGAGTAAAATATGCCTGCTTTAATATTTTGGACGTCTTTACTTATTTTGTGACACAGGCTTGCACGGTAAACCACTTCAGCGTGCTTGTCATTTCGTCGAGGGTGATTATTAGCGGCGAGATGTTTTGGTGGCGCCCTCCTATGGTTCCCCCTTGTGACGTCATTACCTTGCGAACAACAAGTTCGATGGTGTTTGTAAATAGCGTGGTGGAAGCCTGAAATCATTGCGCTCTCAAAGCAACACTGCCAACACCGTCGAAATTAAAGTTCTTTCATTCCTCTTATTTCCGTCGATGGTATACCCTCTCCGACGTCACAGTCAGCTTTTGGGCCAATCGTGGAAGGCCGACCACAGCGACACTTTCGGTCGCAAACGTCGCCAATACCGTTTACATAATATAAAAAAAATACTTCATTTTAAAAGGCTTCCCGTGTTCATTTTATGTAGGACTCACAACGTGAAGTTTAGAATGGGAATGCATTATGCCACTTATGACATAGTAAAACCAGTAAAACAATATGTAGTTTTAACGTCTTTCACGCAATATGACCGGGGAAAAATCAACATACGGATTTATTGATGGATACGTCTATTGAAGGGGATAGCGATCAGTCGGGTTAATTTTCTAATCAAACCACAGACCCACTCAACATTCAATGCTTTATGAAAGCCACGGTTTGTGCGAGATAACAAAAATACGTGGCACCAGCGATTGTATAAAAAACAACATCGAAGCTTCCGACTTAATATTAATCGCTTTGCTGAATTTCTACGCATGGCAAACGATACAACACAACCTTTAGTAAGAAGAAACGGCAGCAAAAACAAAACATTTAGTAAGGAATGTCAAGCTCAGCCTGAAACGGGCTTGCGTCGTCGAGATCCATGCTTCTGGGCGTGCGCCCGTAGCAGACGACGCATGGCGGTATCCCCGCTTTCGCGTGTTTACAATTTCGGCCGCACGGTAGCGGCACGTTTTGATCTCGAGGCGAATAGAGACCCGCTTTCCAAGCTCTGGACAGTCTGGCAACCATGGGCACACCTTGGCAAGGCTTGTCTAGCAGATGCTCCACAAACTCTGGCACCAAGATGGCAGTGAAAAGAGGCTGCACTTAGAGGCATGCATGGAGCCAAACATTTAACTTTCCCAATGTTCATTTGCCACCTGCCCATAAACCTCTCCTAAAATTCCTATTTCGCAGCTTTTCTCCTTCCCCTCGAAACACAACCCGTATTACCATGTACACTTTTGTCTGGGATTTGGACTCTACTGAGGATGTGTGCCTAATAGAAGATCACCAATTAGCATGAACTCTAGGAGTCTGCAGACGGCTGTACAAGGGGCACTCCTCTAGGCTACAACCGACTGTAGTCTAGACACAACCACCGCTCCATGTATATAAAGGGTTGAAATGAAGAACTTACCTTGGCTGGAAGACTGAATCGATTCCATAAAAGTAGCCAGATGTGGTCAGGTTCGTAAGACAGCTTGTCCAACACCGCCTCATCGAAGTCAAGCCGCTCTCCTCGATGCTCCCGCAACTGTAATCGTGTTGCATGTTTGTTTAGACAGTGAGAAGTTAGCCAGCCCTAATGGGCGTCTGGTGTCTCTGCTGTAGATAAGAGTATGACTGCTGCCCTGGGGTCTTTAACGTGCATCATTCAGCGATGATACAGACAGCATGCCGGTAAAATGCTTATCCAGATTGAAACGGGCAGGAGTGGGGATAGAGTCCCAGATTCTGGGGTTTTGCAGCACATGTTTTCATTTACATTATCAGAGCTGCGGTGCGTTTACAGATTCGGTCATTGACACCTTTCCACCCTTGTAACCGAGTTTAAAACCAGTGGTCGA